GATATAATTTTCAAAGATTCGTATAAATCATAAATTTTATTTATATGCTGGTGGGTTGCACCGTTTGATAGACTTAATTTTAAACGATACATAACATTTTTATACTATTATAAGAAAATCAGTTTCTCTTTAGATTTATTAGGGGTTTTTATTTTTAAGACTCTTATACAACTACGGGCGTAAACGGTAAACGAGTTTCCACCGCCAACACCACTTCGGCTGCTAGAGCGAAAAAAGCACGCATGGATATGGCGAAGTCCCCCGGGTTAGTTGAAATTTCATCGTCAGCGGGTCGAAAAATCATTTGGTATTTCGCAAAAAATTTAAATAATGTTAAAAATTATACCGACTTTCTACGTCCTCTTGCACCGGCTCTGGCAGACATGTTGAAAAATAACGTGCAGCAACATCCAATAAAATTTAACTTGAAGCTCGAGGCTACTTATAACCGATCAAACGTACCCAATTCGTCCGAAAATAGGGCGTTTAAAACATCAGCAGTTGAAGTTTTTTCGGAAAGTAACATTCCTGAGATTATTGAAAGGGCTTATATAAAGTTATTGGTCGAGGAAGAAGCTTATACTAGCAGAGGAAGCGGGTTTACCCTGGAATCTATAGATGGGCTATTGTTGACCGTGTACAAATACACGCCGATGGACGGGTCGTCATACATACCACTGCCTGCGTATATCGATAAAAAGAAGGGTACAATTAACCCTCAAAACAGCGATCAAGAATGTTTCAAGTGGGCGATACTAGCGCGGTATGTGACAGGGCCGTCGGTATACCGTATAGGAGAAAATTATAGACAACATGAGGACAAACACAATTTCAATGGTATATCGTTCCCAACGCCATTATCCGACGTTCAGAAATTCGAATATAATAACCCGACTGTCTCTGTGAATGTATATGGGTTAGACAAAAAGTTTCAGCCACCGCGTAAATATCCGACGTATGAGGTGTACCCGCTACGTGTCGTTGATGAGGAGAAAGCCAACCACTTTGATCTGTTGTTGGTAGCAGACGAGAGCGGGTCGCATTACATCTACATCTCGAATTTATCCCGCCTTATACGCTCTCAAAAGACTGGACATAAAGAGAGTGTCGTATTTTGTAAAAGGTGCTTTACCAGCTTTGACAATCAAAGATATAAATATAAATTGAATGGGCGTGACGCGTTAACTCAGCATAAGCTTATATGCGGTGCACATAAGCCAATATTACCGGTGATGCCGAAAGAAGGTGAGTGTCTGCAATTTGAAGCATGGAGAAACACTCAGAGGCATCCTATAGTGATATATGCAGATTTCGAAACTATACTGATGAAGATGGATGATAAGAATGAGGGAAATACAAAAATAATGCACAGACATGAAGCGATGAGTTATGGACTCATTGTGAAGGCGAGCGACGACGTACCGTTAGAGTTGATGGAGGAGCATGAGATAACGACAGAACCAGTGATATACAGAGGAAGCGAGAGTAAGACGGACGTGGCGAAACATTTTATTGAAACAGTGACCGAGTTGACGATAAAAATTGAAAAATTATTGAAGACCAATAAACCTATAGTTTTCACGGATGAACAACGGCAGTCACATAATGCATGTACAGCTTGTAATTTATGCAAAACAACCTTTACATACGATAACCATAAGGTTGCAGATCATTGTCATCTCTCTGGAAAATACCGACAAGCTCTATGTAATACCTGCAACCTCAAGCTTCAAGCACCAAAATTTGTCCCTATATTTTTCCATAACTTATCCAATTATGACGCGCACCTAATAGTAACAGAACTGGGTCACGACACGCAAGCTATTAACGTTATTCCTAATAGCGAGGAGAAATATATATCTTTCTCGAAATACGTATCAAATACATTCAGCATGCGTTTCATAGACACGTTTAGATTCATGGCATCAAGTTTATCTTCACTGTCCAAAAATCTTGTAACACCGGGACTGGAGAACTTTAGAGAAACCGCTAAAGTTTTTAATAAAGTCGATATGTCGCTCGTGACTCGGAAGGGGGTGTACCCGTACGAGTATACAGATAGTTGGAGCCGGTTGGATGAAGAGAGACTACCGAGGAAGAGTGACTTTTATAGCACGTTAAACGAGTCGGGAATAAAGGAAGAGGAATATACGCATGCAAAGGAGGTCTGGGACCACTTCGGTTGCAAGACATTGGGCGAGTACAGTGATCTGTATTTGAAAATCGACGTGTTGCTGCTGGCGGACGTCTTTGAAAATTTTCGTGATGTCTGCATAAAGACATACAACTTGGACGCGGTGTATTATTTTACTGCACCAGGATTGAGTTTTGACGCGATGTTGAAGTTTACCAGGAAAAAGTTGGAGCTGTTGAGTGATTACGATATGTTATTAATGTATGAGAATGGTTAGTATATCAATATAGTTTTAAAAATTGCATGTATAATAATAATCTTGTATATTTTTCATAGGTATTCGTGGTGGATTAGTGCAGGCAAGCATGAGACATGCCAAAGCGAATAATATAAAGACCCCAGACTACGACGAAACTAAGGAGAAATCGTGGTTGATATACCAGGACTGTAAATATATTTATTTATTTATTTATTTATTCATTTTTCAAACTTAAACTTTACAGGTAATAATCTCTATGGCTGGGCTATGTGTCAGTATATGCCATACGGTGACTTCAATTGGGTTGAATCCAACTTGAACGGACTGAGTGAGATGTCGCCAACGTCAAACAAAGGTCGAGTATATGAAATTGATGTATCATACCCACAACATTTACATGATAAACATAATGACCTGCCTTTCCTGCCACAAAACGGTATACCACCAGGCTCAAAGGTGAAAAAATTAATGTCAACGTTTCAGCAGAAGAAAAATTATATTATACATTACCGGAACCTACAGCAGGCAATTAAAAATGGGTTAATAGTTGAAAAAGTAAATATTTTTATTTTACAAGATTTAAACAGATTTTTAACATTATATCTTAATTTATAGGTGCATAGAGTTTTAGAATTTAGTCAGTCTGCATGGTTGGCTGATTATATTAACTTAAACACAGAGATGAGGAAGAAGGCACAGAACGACTTTGAGAAAGACTTTTTCAAATTAATGAACAATGCGGTATTTGGTATGTTACTTTACTTAATCCAATTTAACTATATTACCAACAGTTTCTTTTTTCAGGGAAGACTATGCAATCGAAAAGGAAGGAAATGAAGATGGAGTTGGTGTCGTGTGAGAGACGATTACAAAAACTTATTAATAAGACGACATTTAAACATGCTACCAACTATAACGAAAACCTGAACGCGGTGGCACTAGAAAACAAAATAATCAAATTTGATAAGCCTATATATATTGGTAAAATTTACTTAACATTTTCATACTATTACATTTATTAACATATTTTGTATAGGATTTGCTGTTCTTGACATTTCCAAGACGAAAATGTACGATTATCACTACAACGTAATGCAGAAGCACTATGGTGATAATATCAAACTTATGTATACTGATACTGGTAAACATATAAAAAAAAAAAAACTAATTTCAAGTATATACATTAAATAAATATTAATTATTATTTCAGATTCGTTGGTATACCATATTAAAACTGAAGATTTTTACAAAGACTTGATTGAGAATCCCAACTTGATGGATAGATTAGACACGTCGGACTTGCCTCCTATCCATCCATGCTACACTACAGCTAGGAAGAAGGTGCCCGGGTTCTTCTCTGATGAAGCAAAAGGTCATATAATGACAGAGTTTTGTGCACTACGTGCAAAATCATACGCGTACAACATATATACAGGAGAAGAGGATGAGCAGAAAGATAAAGATGACAGAGTTGGAGGAGAAAACATAAAGGCGAAGGGTGTAAGACAGCATGTGGTTAAAAACCATATGACGTTGGAGGATCATGTTAAGTGTTTGTTCGGAGATGAAAGTCTTGATAAATATACAGAAAATGTCTCCATACGCTCCTTTAAACACCAGCTAATGACAATCAAAACAAATAAATTGACATACAACAACTACGATGACAAAAGAGTGGTGCTAGGCGATAAAATACATACACTGGCTCACGGTCATTATAGTTTAGAGTATGTTTTTAAATTATTCTATATTTTTTAAATTATTTTACTTATATTTATAATTTTATAGGTATGATAACGAGCAGATTGTTGATTGGCCAGATCATGAGTTTACTGTAGACGTTACTGGGCGTGAGTGGGAGGAATCGGATAAAGATTTAATGAGATTACTTCTAATGGAATGCATGTCCAAATAATTAAATACTATGTATATTTTTTTTTTTTTGTTATGTATTGTAAATACCATGTATATATATACTTTATTATATATTAATGTTATCTATAACCATTTATTGAAAAATTTAGGTTACCTATGTAAAATAAAAAAACCAATGTTAAAATATTATTTTGTTTATTAAATAAAATGTACATACATTCACAATTTTTAAGAATTATTTATAAACCATTTTCTTATAGCAAAAACTTTATAAAATGTACATTGTTTAGGATTAAATTCCATATGAAAAATACAACAAGGTAAAGTTTCGTCATCACATATTTGATCCAAACGAGGGCAGCCCAAGTCTTCAATGTTGATGAGTGCGACGTGTGGTATATACTCCATAAGAACTTGTTTTTTCTGTTCACCTTTGACGTATATGCAACTGAACTTTAATGAATTCAATATTCTACTTAGTTCTTCATACTCGATATCGCCATATTCTATGGGTAGTTGATGGTAATTACGCTCCAGCCACTTGTTGGTTTTACGACTTTTGTTATCCTCCATGGATTTAGAATGTTTAGAAATCCAGTGTTGGGTCGCCCATGTTTCTGTGTCTACTATAGACATTTCTTTAATCATGTATTTATTGTTGACACCGAGTACACATTGCATGTCCAAGATGGCTGAAGACATTATGGTTTGTCTTTATAATAAGTTTCAATAGTATTTAGTCGACTGAGTATAGCTGGTATTAGGTTTTTCAACCCTTCTGTACTTTCTTTGATTGATTGTAATGATACTTCGCCTCTTGTCATATGCTCAGCTATCTGTACACACGTTAATTGTATCGTTTCTATTTGTTCTTCTTGAATTTGTACGGATTTATGATTTTCTTCAAGTAAATGTTCGATTTTATCTAATTTAGACGAAAACGATTTGTTCGACTGTTCGAGATTTGAAATAATTTTTTTTGTTTCACTAGACTGAGAACTACCAAACACGTTCATGTCCATAGCTCGACTGACACTATTTTCTAATGTCACTTGTATTTATCCAACTATTGTGTGTATTATCGAACCCGAGCCATTTCACAAAAATTTGATTCCCCTTCTTACGTATAATTTTCTCGACTAAATAGTCATTTGGATAATTCGTTTTCAATATTTCTTCAGAATAAAAGCAACCAGCAATCGGTTTTCCAGTATAATCTTGTAGCTGATAAGTAGTAGGTAATGTTTCATTAATTTTAACAATTTTAAATATTTCTGTAGACCAGCTCGGTAAATAACCTTTTGCAAATACACCTTTATATGTGCTAATACGGACGTTATCGCCTATGTCAAATTTAATTTTTCCGTCAATAATTTTTCGTTGCTTTATTTCCACTGACGTAGGATTAGCATCAGCTTGCACTGGTGTCATTCCTATTGTCCTATGTTTTGAATTATTATATTCGTTAATCAATGAAGGTAAAATAGAAATCCATTCATGCGAACTTCGTGCCGTAAACTCTCTAAACATTTTTTCTTTCAATGTGCGGTTGAAACGTTCCACAATACACGCTTTCATAGTACTATAAGTCGAATATTTATGTATGTTGTGCTTCTTCATCAACGCGTCAAATGTAGAATTGTAAAATTCTTTTCCATTATCGAGCTGTAATAGCTTTGGTGTGCGTTTATGCAGTATTTTAGACATTGAGCTGGAAACTTCTTTAGCAGTTTTAGACTTTAACGGTATCGCCCAAGCAAACTTTGTAAAACAATCAATAACACATAGAATATATTTGTAGCCCTTGTTTTTTTTAGAATACGGTATCATTTCGACCAAGTCGGCCTGCCATAGATCGTTTTTACCGTAGACATTAACTCTACGCCTTGTATAATTTTTTCTTGTCGGTTTGTGTAATTCGACTGCGATTTCACGTTTAGACATTTGAAATACGATTTATTAATCCTGCTTCACGCAGTTCTTCAAAAATCGAGATTATTTCGTTTGAAACGCCTGTATTACCAGCTGCCTTTGACGCCAATAGTAGTTGCAATCTTTCGACTAGCTCGTTAGGGTCGTTCCAGTAAACTAAATTATGTTTTCGTAATTTCATAGATAAACCTTTACCTGACCGAAACAAATTTTGGATTATATCATAATATTTATTTCCACCTTTTTTAATTTTTCTCCCGTCTGCTGTGAGATGCGCTGATGTCTGAGTTAATATAGACTTGTATGCATCTAAATCGTTTTTGGTGTATAATTTAGGATTTTTTGAAAATATTAAATTACCAAGCCCTTGTGTTAGCGGGTAAGATATGTCTTCAATAGTCAACGTATTATCGACAAGATTAATTTCTTTTTTACCTAAAACTACTCTTCCATTTTTTTGTTCTTTAGGTCCATACGTTTTGTCTATATCGTAAGATTTATACCAGTCGCTTATTTTAAAAGCTTGCGAATCGCCTATGTCGTTAAAATATTGAGAATCTTCATTGTCTTGCTGTGTGGGCGAAGCTTGAAATGTTGTTTTATTAATATTTTGTTTCAATGGTTCGATAATCGGACTTAACGTTTCTGATACTAGTGAATGGATATCTGCTTTTCCTTGTTTTAATGCGGTATACTTGCGTTTAATATTTTCTTTGGCTTTAATCAGTTCTCCGAGTACTTCACCACTAGCAGCCATGACTGTGAATGCGGTATTTTTCATAAAAACAACACTTTATATAACGACGAATGTGTCAAATCCGTGACGATATCGACCGTTGTCACGTTCACAGTCTTTGTTTATCACGATAAACTCAAATCTCCCCAGACGCCAACACGAAGTACAAAAGTCTTTAAACTCTGAGTATGACATATCACCAGAGCAATGTTCATTGTATACATGCTTTAAATTAGTCTCATCTTGTTTAAATAATACGATGAAATTGGCGTTATCGCGCAAAAGTTGTTTTGGTACTTTTGAATAACTCTGAGCCAGATAGAAAACATCGACTAAATTATGACGACCTCTGGAGAAGTAAGTTCTCGCAATCTTTTGGTTTTCAGTAATAATATCGTCGAAAATAAATACAGAGTTTGGTAAAGCTTTCTCAGGTTCAATAACTTGCTCATTTTCATAGAACGTAAATAATTTTATACCATCAATATCTGATAATATATTACTTAGCATTTTATATTTGGGTTGATCCAATGTTTTTGAATATATGTAAACGTTGTGAAATCGTATTCCGTTTAAGTGTGTTAATAAGGTGAATATTAAATTAGTTTTTCCACAGCCAGAGGGACCCACGACAAGTGCACGTATCGTATTAGGTAGAAGCGCACCATGTCTTTGTTTCATAAACGATGTAGGTGGATCCACGTTTTCAACTGTTAGTTTTATATCTTGTTTGATAAACTTCATTATAAATATCTCTGTAACGACGACAATGTAATCAGTACACAATGTCTCTCGCTCGAAGAAGCAACAAGAATAAAGGCGGTGGGCTTATCAATACGCTTATAAACAAATTACCAATCGAGCTTCACGTGCCTGGTAAGTCTAGAATAATAAATTCGATATTATCATAATAATAATAATATTTCTTTGCAGGTTATCAATACTGTGGGCCTGGTACAAAATTAGGAAAACGATTAGCTCGCGGCGATAAAGGTATAAACCCACTGGACTCTGCTTGTAGGGACCACGATATTGCGTACGACCAGAGTAACTCTATCGCAGATCGTAACAAAGCCGATTATATATTAGAGCAGCGAGCTTGGGATAGATTCAAGTCTAAAGATTCGAGTTTAAAAGAAAAAGCTGTGGCTTGGGGTGTGACTACTGCCATGAAAGCAAAACGTAAAGTAGGCGGCGGCTGTGGTTTTAAAGCAGCACTTAAAGCCACTAAAAATGTTGTAAAGAAAAATGTTGGCGAAAAGAACTTGATGAAATTGACTAAAAAATGTGTAGCCGTCGCGCGAAAAACATTCAAAACTAAGAAGACAAAAGTTCCACGAACAATAAATATTCCGAAAAAAGGTGGTGTGCTACCACTCATACCGATTTTCGCCGGGTTGTCAGCTCTGGGAGCTCTGACTGGCGGCGTAGCCAACGTTGTGAAGGTCGCCAATGAGATTAATAGAAAAACTCCATCACATTTAGGTAAAGGGCTATATCTCACTCCGTATAAAGGCAACTCGTACAAAATAGAAACACCACAAAAAAGTGGTGGGGGCGTAAAAGCTAAAAAATATAGAAAGTCAAAAAACTAATTGCCACGTTACCCAGTAGAGCGTTGTACGATTACGAACTTATAAAATATGCTCGCATGATGAAAATACCTCATTTCATCGGCGTTTTTACCAGAGATAGGTTATCTAGACGTCCTAAACGCTTAGAATCAGCGATTATCAACCTGGATACGGAGAAAGGTACAGGTACGCATTGGGTAGCGTATAAAAAAATCGGAAAAAAAGTCATATATTACTACAGTTTTGGGAATTTACCTCCACCATTAGAAGTACAAAAATATTTTCATGGATGTGACATACATTTCAATTACAGCAGAGAGCAGAAATATAATACTACAAACTGTGGACACTTGTGTTTAAAGTTTTTATCATGTTCACATTAACGTTAAACGGAAACTCTAGTGAGTTGTCATGCGAGATCTTTCCTCCGTTGGAAGTAGAAAATACTGCACAAATGTGCCTGCTGAGCTTACAGACAAATAATTCGATACCAAACATAGAACCTGGTTGTAATACTATTGCCTTCCGTAATTTGATGAATGAAAATGAGTACGTAATCATACCTACAGGGACGTATGAGTTGGATCAGTTAGAGTCTATTATACAAAAAATGATGCCCGACTATGTCAGTATGTTTGAATTAAAAGCAAACGGCAGAACATTAAAGTGTATGATATCGTGCAGCCATGATGTTGATTTAGGAGTCGAGAATAGCATAGCGAAATTGTTGGGCTTTAGAAATGTACTATACACTACTGGTGCTACTCATGAATCTGAAAATATTGTGAACATTATGAAAATAAACTGTATAAAAGTAGAGTGTAATTTAATCACCGGCTCATTCTGTGACGGAGTACCGAGCCAGATCATACACGAGCTGTATCCTACTGTACCCGCGGGATATAAAATCGTTGAGGTACCTAGGCATCCAGTTTTTTATGGTCTCAATACGACTTCAATAACCAAAGTAAATATCGTGCTAAAAGATCAGAACGATTGTCTAATTAATCTGCGCGGTGAACCGATAACTATTCGTTTACAAATAACGCGTGGATATGGCGCTCAAATTTAATATAAAAAGAGAAACAATCAAAAAACCTATCAGTATACCACCTGCCGTTAAGAAGTCTACATCGCTAGCAGCGAAGAAGTACAAACCTATCCAAACCAAACTCACAAAAAACAATTTAAATTTTCTTCGCTCTTTACAATGATGGATGACTCATATTTAGACGTGACCGCCGACTATGTCGACGATTGTAAAATAACACAAATGCAATTTCATTCGTTCACACCGTATTCAAGCGCCGCTCTATCATACAACGAGGAAATTAGAATTAACGTTCAGAACATGGATTCTTACACTTTGCCGTGTGAAAGTTATATTTTCATCGAGGGTAAAGTAAATAAACCTGCCGATGCAGTTGGAGAAGTTCGTTTTTCGAATAACGGATTGGCATTTTTATTCTCCGAAATGCGATATGAAATAAACGGAATAGAAATACAAAAATTGAAATCACCTGGAGTGTCATCATGTTTGAAAGCATACTGTTCGTACACCCCAAACCAGTGGCGGCGCCAGCATTTTTTGCTAGGTAGGGCCAATGAGAGGCCAACAATTATAAGGTAGGGCCACTAAAAAATGAGATTTTAACAAAAAAATAAATAAATAATAAAAAAAAACAATAAGTTTATTACTATATTTAAAAACGTTTAATGATTATTAACAATAAATTAAATATAATAAATATTAACAATAAGTGTTATCACTATAACAAAACTACTTTAAAATAATCCTACGGTTGTCATGTGCATCTGCAAACTTATTTATTATTTCATCAATATCAAGTGACTTAGCTTCACGTTTTTCAATAGATATGATGCTCAAACTTGTAAGAATAGTGTCCAACAAACTATTTCTCAAGTAACTCTTTACGCGTTTCATACATGAAAATGTACGTTCACACGTAGCTGATGACACGGGTATTGTTATAGCAATGGAGCATAATTTAAATGTTTCTGAAAATGCTATTTCATATTCCTTAAGAAAGTTATGAAATTGGAAAATATCTTTAATTTTCAAATTATTTTTTATTTCATAACGGTTCATGGACTTTTGTAATATTTTTAATTCTGATTTTAGGCATTCTATGTCACCTAAGTAAGCATTTGCAAAAGGAATTATAGTGTCATATGTTAAAAATGTTGTTGATTCTGGATTAAGAGCACTTATCCCGCTTATTATATCAGAATTTTCACCGAATCTCTTATCTAACTCATTTGTTATTTTGTCCAAAATACAATAGAATATTCCCGATCTAAATTCGTTTTCTTCTATTGGCACTTGTTTTTCCATACTGCTATTTTCATATACAAATTTTTCCAACCCTTTTGGTATTTTTTTATTCTTTTTTGTTTAACTTTTTCAGATGGATGTGTAATATTACAATTTTTTGAAATATTTGTTGCTTCGTTAAAAAATAATTTGTGTTTTTCAGGATTTCTCAAATCCAAAAAGTATTTTTTTGTAGATTCCACTAATATAATACTATTAGCCATATCAGCCTTAACATCTTGTAAGTATTTACTCAGTATTTTTATTTGAGAAAGAATATCATCAAATACCAATAGTAAATAAACAAATTTAAAATCAATTTTTCTTAATAGTCCTTCTGCTTCAAGAGAACGTTCTTTATTAGTTGAAAATGATAATTTATTTAAAAGTAACAGAACAATTGTAAGAGTACTTCTTATAGCTTTACAACAATAAACTTGCGAAGACCATCTTGTTAGGCATAGGCGTTTTAGTTCTACAGGTTTTTTTGTATTTAATACTTCTTTTTGTAATTCAATAAATTTTGAATGAACTACAGAACTAGAAAAAAAAACATATAATTCTTGTATCAGAGTAAAGAATAAATCAGCTTCTTCTATATTTTTTGCTACATTAACTATTACTAGATTTAGTCTATGGTTTGCACAGTGGGTATATATTGCTTGAGGGACTTCATTTTTAAAAATAGCTTGTACACCATTAATGTGGCCCCGCATAACACTTGCTCCATCGTATGTTTGTGCCACACAATTGTTGATATAAATTTGGCATTTAATTAAAACTTGTTTTATATGCAAAAATAGAGAATTAGCATTTAAATTTTTAAGAGGTGTAAAACCTAAAAATCTCTCTTTTATTTCATCTTGGTAAAAATATCTTACTACAATAGAAAGTTGCTCTGTCTTGGATACATCTTTTGTTTCATCAGCCATGACTGCAAAATAAACTGATTCTTTTATTTCTTTAGAAATTTTAGATAGAATCATAGTGGACATAATATGAACAATTTCGTTTTGTATTGAATGATGTAAATACCTTGCATTTTTGGGTCCATTCATTTTTGTTTTAACTACAGCATCAAAATTACTAATGGCACTCATAACCTCAATAAAATTCCCTCTATTAAAACTTTGTTAATTTTCAATATGTCCTCTTAAAGCTTGTCCTTGAACTGCCAGCATTCTTAGTGAAATAATGATTGCCTTCATATATCTTCTATTTTCCATTACCAAACGTTCATGTTGGTCTGAAATTTGAGATAATACTGAAGTATTTTTATTTTTATTTTTTTTATATTCTACCCATGATATTAAACATTGTTTATGTTCGTCAGATTTATCATGCAAAGGAAATCCTTTGGCAGACATTGCATTTTTCCAGTTTTTGTATCCTGTAGTTCTATAGTTTGTGTCTAAATTTGTTTTTAATTTATTGGAAAAAAATCTACAAGGAAAGCAAAATGCAGAATCTTCAATTTTGCTGTACTCCAACCATTTATAAAGTTCATACCAGTTGGTATTAAAACCTCTCATTCGTTTTGTTTGACCGACTCCGTATACAGTTTTTGGATATTTTTTTAGTTTGTGTTGAGTAGGACCCTCATCTAAATTTTGACTTATATCATTAGGCCCAGGAACTTGTCGAAAACTATCTGGTTTTGTTAAATATTTTTCAGCTACTTCATGTTCATTATAATTTTTAATTACCTCTATATCATTTTCACAATTACTTTCTTCACTTAAATCATCACTAAAAAATAATATTAAAAATAAAATACTCTTAATACAGATAAAAGCTACATTAATTATTAAATTCTTAATATTAAAGTTATTATAAAATATAAAAATAATCAAAATTTAATTAATTTAATTAATTTTATTTCTAACTACATATCTACATTCTATATAAATATATAAAGATTATAAAATGAGTAAATTAAATAGATTGTAATGAGTTAAAAATTATAATTAACCTAATAAATTATAAGATTATATTTATAAAACTGTTTCTTTTTACTGTTTTTTTTTTTTTTTAATTAAAATTTAATAATATTTATATTATTTTTAACTTTTAAGCTATAATAACAAACAGCAATATAAATTCATGATTTAATAAAAAAACAATATTGACCATTTCCAGAATCATTTTTTCATCAGGTAGGTTTACTAAACTAATGATTTATCATAAAATTATTCAATATCACTGGAATGTATCTAACTAAATATATAAGCCCACCTTAATATTTCACAGGATCTTAACTGATAAATACACGATTGCACATTGCACATCACATACCCATTATTAAAATATAATATAGGTAATTAGAAAATTAAATTGACACTAACCTACTTAAATTGTTATTTTCATAATCATCAACATCACTAGACATCAATTCTTGATTGCTTTCAATGGCAATATTATGAATATTTCTTTAAAAAAAAAAAAAAATATTAATTAACTGATAGCTGATACTCACAAATTACAATTACATTGTGATAAAGAATAGGTTCTCAGTTCTAATGGATTATGGAAAAATATACATTGTCAATACTGAATAATGAGTTATACCTATAAAATACTTGAACATATTATATTCAAGATACATACAGGTATTTAAATATTTAATATATAATTAATAGGCAATTTTAAATACCTAGTTATAGGATTAGAAACTATCAAACTGGAGCATTTCGGTTCATTGTGTCCAGACTCATCTTCAGTAATATTGTTAATAGAACTTTTTTGTTTTTTTGACTTAATGAAAAAGTCACTAATGTTATTTGTATTTCTCTTCGACATATTTTTTTTTTTTTTAATAATAAAATTATACGGTTGGATAAATTACACAACATAAAAAAATATATAGGTAGACAATATATCAATACTGAATGCACTTGGTACTGTCAACTTCACAGAGCACACTTCACAAATAATATTATTAATTATTATAACATGATTACAAATTACAAGAATACGATGAATGATAATTTTAGAAATAATTGATAATGAGCATAATCTAGCACAGTATAACTGTCCCACTGAATCTATTTATAGATGCACGGAGGTTTTACCCATATAACCAAAAGTGTATAGTGTGTATTTATATTATACCAATCTAAACAATGTCATCTATTCTATAGTATTTGTTTATTCTAAGAATATTATCAATAATTATCAATTTATCATATAATATTAAATATAATTTAGAAGTATTTATATTGTTAAATTACAGATAGTAAACAAAATACAAATACCATTATTTAATATTTTCTGCTTATGAAAAATGACCATATTATTATGTCTAAGACCAGGTTAGTGGTAGGGCCACTGGTAGGGCCAGGCATTTTCAGGTAGGGCCATGGCCCTACCTGGCCCGTCCTTGGCGCCGCCACTGCCCCAAACGACTTGAATGCGTTGGACAACTGTGCTTGGGACTCGGAAATGGACAGTGAAGATAACAAAAATTTTATGACCGACAATGTATTTACCGGGTGTATCCCTCTAAAACATTTATTCGGATTTTGTGAAGATTATAAAAAAATATTACTCAATTGCAATCAACAGCTAATTTTAAATCGCGCGTCTACTGATTTAGATGCTATACGTGTTGTTGGTGCCGGAGCTACCAAAAACGTTGATAAAAATAAAAAAATTACGATTGAACTGACTAAGGTTATATGGAAGATGCCTATTATCAAAGTTTGTGATAAAGAAAAATTAAAATTATTGAAAGTGTTAGATTCGCGTAAAACACTATCATGTGCGTTCAGTGACGCACTTCGTTCCAGTTACGTATTGCTCACGGTCGATGATTTAACGTTATCATTCTGATGCGATAAATCAACAACGACGATTAACCTATAGTTTTGGAAAATATGTTTGATAATAATGGTTCCTAGCTCTTTCGTAATACGATTTTTGAAGAATCTGTACTAAACTACCACGGTACGCTGGTATTATTATTTTAAAATAGCTCGAAAGTCATCTATATGGATACTTCAGAGTTTAAGTGCACCTTAAGATTTTCAATTGACAGCAGTGATCAAACCGTCCAGCGTCAGCTTCGAGCTGTTTTCTACTTGTTTGTAGTCCAAGTAATACAAATCTTAGTTTTCAATGTAAGCTGCTAGACTGCTGATCCGAATAAGAAGTGTTTACAAGAGAACTTTGGGATACTCGCAAGATCCCAGGTC